CTGTTAGTGTAAAGGGCTTTGGGGTCCAGAGGGACTTGAAAAGCGCTCTATAAGTTCAGTCCATTTACCATTTACCATTCTGTTCAACTTTCAGTAAATAATCATCAGATAAACAAATATACAACTAATTAAGTTTTTGAGTCAATCCAATCGGTATTAATCAACATTTGCCGACATAAGTTGTTATAATCGCATTAATTTGACAGCTGATGTTTGAGCTGAGTGTGACATGTGAGTCATGTAGAAATAAGCATTAAACACATTTTATTTTACTGCAAATAACTTCACAAAAGAGGAGACAAATATTAAAGTTAATCTTTTATTTAAAGACCTAACAGGTTAAAGTGAAAATGCTACAAGCTGGTCGGTAAAATAAAACCATTTAACCAACGCAACAAGGATGAACCTGTTTTTTTAAGACAAAATCCAAAACAAAGAAAAGAAAAAGTAAAGAAAACCTGAAATATGCTTTAAACCATCCATGAACAGCTGAMATGGATCTGACGCTTCATGGATTTGTTCTTTCAGTATTTCTGTTCTCCTCTGTGACACCAGAGGATAAATGTTGGAGAAGAACAGAGGTTTGAACATTTTCAGAAGCTTAAACAAAAACAGTTCAAATCAGATGTGCCACGAATCTAAAGTTTTATAAACAAACGCAGGTCCTCACTTTGTTCAGTTTAACTTTAAGACAGAACATCAGGGTTCTTAAAGTCAACATTCAGAAGAAAATCACAGGTAAACAAAAACAAACATTCAGATTAATGGTACAAAATATGAATAATACGTTTTTTACGGAAGAGCAATACTTTACCTTTGGAGTGAATAACGGTTTAATTTTCTGATTAGCATCTGTTTAGCATGAACAAAGTAAAAAAATACTGCAGCTCGACTCGTCCAGATGCTGTTAGAGGGGCTCCTGCCCCCCAATTATTCTATTTTTTTAACCGTTATTTTAAATTCTACATGCTATATTTATGATTCCAATTCATAATATGTAAACCTGGTGTATGTTTTTATTGAATATAGCTGATTTAAATGAGTGTTTCTTACCAAAATCTGACTATAATAAACTCAGGTAAAACAAAACAAAACCTACTGATTCCTAATGTTCCGTAAAACAAACTGCTGCAGCTGATTAWAAAACAAAACTAATGTGGGTTTTATTCAGAACCTGCCCCAGAGTTCAGCATGTTCACATTTGGAAGTTAAAAATTCAGGTTCAGGATTTAGTTCTGATTCACCTTTTTATATTTTTTAACCAGCAAGAAGTGAAACACAAAACAGACAAATTTCCTTCAGGTGAAATATTGTGCCTTCACTTCTGTTCAAACACACAGAGCTGCAGAGGCAGAAAAATGGAGACGATTCAAACGGTTCAAAGCAGCAGAACACCAACAGAAACATGCTTCATACAAACTGATGTAATCCACTTTAACATGTTCTAAATCACAAGAACATAAAGTTAAAACTCAAAGACAAGCATTTGGATGTCTTTGGTGAAACCTGTTCATATTTAATCAAAGTTGGTTTTAAAGGGATCCATTAGTTGTAACATTAGACTTTATTTAATAAACATATATATTTAACTGTAAAATAAAGACTGTAAAAATACTGTAGGATGTTTAGTTTTGTAAATTTTTAAAAATATATTTTAACACGGACAGAGACATTTTATTTCCACACAAAGCATTCTGGGTAAATGATGACATGGATAGGTCCTCGGTGCAAGGC